AAATTTGAATTTTAAATTAAAAAAAACCGCTCACTTTCTCTCTCCCATGATTTCCGTTTTTCTGTGTCTATCTCTCTCCTAAAATGACATAACTTATGTCATTTAAAATGACAAACACCAAACCCTTATAAATATGTTATCTATATTTGCTCCCAAAACAATGTTGTTTTAAGTTAAAAAAATAAAATGAAAAAAGTATTATAACCCTAAAGTAAATTATAATTATAAAAATACCTTAATTTCTGTCTCGCATTATAAATAACTTATCTACATTAATTAAAAAATAATAAATCATTTATTTAAATGACGTTTTGGGATCGGAGAAGATAATTTTAATTTATCTTGTGTTTGCAAGAAGTTAATTATATGAATAGAACTTCTAACCTCTAAATCAAAACCATAGAATCAGATGATCAGAAGAACATTAACAATTGATTAACAATTAAAGCGAGTAAAAGTTCTTATATGCATATTTTTCTTTTCAAGAGAAAACAAACAGCAGGCAATGTCACCGACGAAACAGAATATTTGAGGAGAGAAAGTGAGGAAAGAAAAGGCAACTATGATTGAAAAATGTGGATTGTCTATCTTCATGGGAGATGAGAGAGAGCGCGCTTGTCTCTTGCTCAAGGCATTTGTCCTTCCTGCACGTGTTCTTCGTTAAAATTGACGGCTTTTTTAACATTCTAGCTCTTATGTAATTAAGTCAATTATAAACTATTTCAAAAATTTAACTTCTCCAGAAAATATATCACCAATCTGTCTCTGTTTGACCGTTGACCACAAAGCTTACCCGGGTGCACTCTTCCTACCCAGGTAAATAATTCAAACATTTTCCAGATTTAAGAAATATACCGGGTATCTCCCTCTCTATCTGGGTAGGTAAAAAATTTCAAAATATACCCGGGTACGGAGGGTGATACACGGGTAGACTTTGTGATCAACGGTTAAACATGGGCAGATTGGTGTTATATTTTCTGGAGAGGTTAAATTTTTAAATAGTTTATAATCAAAGTCAATTTAATAATTAATTATTATATAAGAGTCAAAAACGTCTAAAATTGACAAAAGTATACGGTTCTGGCCCACGCGCATGATTGGGTGCGTCGGACCTCATGTTCATAGTTTTGTTCCTTCATAGGTCATTGATTCTAAGAGAATGAACCAATATTTAATACTTGAATAATTCTTAGCTAGCTACGATTTAATATTTAAATTATTTTAATCTATTCAAGTTTATAAATTTGTTATAGAACTTTTATGGTTCATTTTTATATCTTTCATCATGAAGTATCAAAAGTTTGGATTTGTTAATGGATGTCCTTATAATACAAGTTAATTAAGATGTATTTGTTATTATGTATTAATTAATTTATTTAAATAATATTTATTAACCGTTATTTTAATGATATTAGTTTAGAAGAATTCGATATTATTTTTATTTTTTTGGTAATCTAAGTGGGATAGAGCATTCGATATTATTTATTAAAACTTTCTAATTGCTTAAAGAATAAAATAATATTGATATATTAAACGTTTTACCTTTTATTTAATATCATATATATTTTTTGGAAGTTTTTAATATCATATTTTCAATTCTTTAACTCTTTTCCTAGGAGGACTTATTAACAAATTTATTAGTTAAATAATAAATTAATTTGAAAAATATTTTAGAAAATATATAACAAATCCCCTTTTAAAATTTTGAGATATTTATTTTAGAATTTAGCATTCGACCTTTTCACAATTTAATTCCAACTCTTGGCTACAAAACAAAATATTACTATGATAAAAGATCTCATCCTCTATCAACTTTCACACTAATGAAAGACATAAATTTTGCTCCTACACGATCTTGCAAAATCATTCATACCACATTTTTTAAACATTACACAACCAGTTATATATCGCGTATTTTGATTCCATTCTAAGGACCTTTGGCCATTTACATACTTTCTTTCTCGTATCCTCCAAGCTTTGAGCACTCTCAAGCTGATTACACACCATTCATTTTATTCTTTTTAATATATTTCAACCGGTTCATCACTTTGTAACTAGTCCGATTTGGAGCGGGTTCCGAGATTAAGGGTTTAAACCCCTCACAAAGACGATACTGAAGAGGATCGAATATTGAATATTTTTTCTTCATCTATTTTTGTTTTTTAATCCTTAACATTGTTGGAAATTGACACACAAATAGAAAATAAAAAAGAGAAAGGGAAGAAAGATTTGACACGGTAATTTATTCTGATTCACCCAATATAAATTATGTCTAGCTTGTCTATACTATATTCACCTCATCGTCACTCGTTGGTTTATAAGGGAATATAAATAGGATTTAGAAAATCTTGTCAGCAGCTATTCACGGGTTCAAACCGATATTATTAAGAAAAGGAAAATTACAATAAGTCAGAGGCTCACAACAGTACCAGACCTCTACGAGTCCGGGGGCGTTGCCCCCTGCACCCCAGTTGGGCTGCTATCCAATTGACTTTTTGTTGATCCTGCCAATAAGAGTCCTCATCTGAATGCAAAGTATGAGACATACTCAACAAACATATTTGATATGATATATGTTAAAAAAATCCAATATTTTTGTATTATTTGATTTAATTCCATTAGCTAAACAACCTAAATTCTCTTTTTAATTTATTTGTGTTTTATGCTAGAAAAAATGGATAGGAAACTCGTTTGGTAAAATCGATTTATTTTTTTGTTCCCGGGATGAACCGATTTAATTTTTGGGCCGGGAAACATAAAAAAGAATAAAAAAGTTTATGTTTTTTTGTTCCCGACACAAAATGAGAAACACTTGCCTCTCTCAATTAATCTCCACCACCACCATCATCTCGACACGACCACCACTACCATTGTCGCCGTTGTCATCGTACCACCAATGTCGTTGTCACCACCACCACGATTCCACCGCCACCATCACCACCACCTCCACCCATCGCCATGTCACCACCACCATATCACCACAACCACCACCATGCCACCACCACCACGTTACTACTGCTGCAGCCACTGCCGTCACCATCACCACCATGCCACCGCCGCAAACCACCACCACCACCATCGTCACAGCCACTACCGTCAGCACCACCACCATCGCCACCAACTACCACCACCGTCGTCACGGCCACCGCCACCGCCACTGCCACCTTGTCATTACCACCATCACTACAACCACTGTCGTCACCACCACTACCACCACCGCCACCACCATTATTGCTCCAGCCACTGCCGCCACCAACCACCACCATCGTCGTAGCCACTGCCGCCACCACCGCCATCAACTACCACCACAGTCATCGCAGCCACTGCCATCACCATCTCCATAGCCACTGTCATCACCACCGCCACCACCGTTGCAGCCACTGCCGTCACCTCCGCCACCAACTACCACCATCGTCGTCGTAGTCATTGTTGTCTCCAGCACCACCATGTCATTACCACCACCACCATCGCCGCATCCATTGCTGTCACCACCACCGTCGCAACCACTGCCATCACGACTACCGCCACCGCAACCAACTACCACCACCGTCGTCGCAACCTCTGTTGTCTCCACCACCACCACTATCGCTGCCACCACACCATATGAAAAAGAAAGTGTAATCTAAAAAAATATATTTATGCTTAACAAGAATTATATTTATTATATTATTTGTTATGTTATCTAACGCAATTCTCATTCTCGGAATAAAAATAGAACATGTTATCAAACACATTTTTTTTCTCAGAAACTATTTCAAGGCACAAAAATAGAATTTTTTTTTTTTCAGAAACAGTATCAGGGAACAGAATAGTTGTCATGCACATCCACCTGGTTAAATTTGAAAATAAAAGGCATCAAAAGAGTTAATACATCATTATAGACTTTTAAAAAATAATAATAATGCCTTCTCAGCTTTCGTGAAATAATAATGCTGGCGACTGGTCTATCCAAAGAAAAAAAATAATGCTGGCGACTGGCGACTGTCCAGATGAGGAGGGACAATTAGTTTTCTTAATGCCTATCATGCAATCTCCGTCTCTCTATTGGATGTATCGGTGCTAAATTGGGTATGCATTTCCAATGAAAAAAATAAAACGATATATTCCCATTATTTTTCTAAAATTCATAATTCGCTAGTTGGGACTACGTGTCACGCCGTCTTATTCGTTATTAAGTGTAGGTTCCATTTTGACAATGAGCATGTCTAAATTGTCTTCAACTGTTTAAATGTTTTTTATTGTAAAATGAATCTTTAAATCGCAAGCAAGATTCAAATAAATTCGCCGCTGTAGGATTAGACCTAGCAACGCCTATCTGTTATCCTCTCAAAGTCGAAGTATTATTATCATCAAATCACGATTTTCATAAGTTTCTCCCCCAAAAAAATCATAATTCATAGTTTAGAATTATTTATATTCTTATTTTCAGTTTTCAAACCCATATTACATGGTTTAAACTCTTAACGTATATACCAAGAGACAACTAGAACTGATATGATAACAATACATAGCTTTCTCGTGTAAAATGGAAGGGGCAAAAAAAAAAATGTAAATACTGCACATGTGCGGTAAAACAAGAGCAGCCAAATAAGCCTGTACAAGGTGCAGCTGTCTGTTCTTTCAATAATTGTACTACTTTATGGGTCCAAAAAAAGTTTTAATGTCTCTTAAAGTTTTAAGTTTTAATGTAACCTTCACAATTTTATGTGTGTATTATAATATATAAAACTATCTCCAATAAAAATATTAATACCAAAAAGAACTTTGTAGAGAGAATGATGTACAGCGCGTTCACTTGCGTGTGGGAAAGATCTTTCTCTATCATCCGCAAGCTTCCCCACTATTTAAAGCCATTGAGCCTGTTTTTCTTAGCACATCACAGTTCTCAACCTCAAAGTAAGTAATCCACACAGAAAGTTATTCCTAAACCATATCCATGGCTTGTTCACTTTCCTTCTTTCCTTTTCTCTTTCACATTCTCCTTCTCGTTGTCACCACCATCATAGTGCCATATCCGGTGGAAGCAGGCAATGGACAGTGGCAGCTCCTACAAAAAAGCATTGGCATTGTGGGCATGCACATGCAATTACTACACAACGATCGTGTCATCATTTTCGACCGCACCGACTTTGGCTTATCCAACTTAGACTTACCCAATGGCAAGTGCCGCAAAAACCCAAGAGAGTTGGTTGTCAAAGACGATTGCACTGCTCACTCCGTCGAGTACAACGTCGCTTCCAATAAATTCCGGCCACTGTTCGTAGAAACCGACGTGTGGTGTTCATCCGGTTCGGCGGCTCCCGACGGTTCCCTGGTTCAGACCGGCGGTTACAACGATGGAGACCGTGCGGTGAGGATATTCAATCCATGCCCCACATGTGATTGGCAAGAAATTGAAGGTGGACTTGCAGCTCGAAGATGGTACGCCACCAATCACATGCTGCCAGATGGAAAACAAATCGTTATTGGTGGCAGAAAACAATTCAACTACGAGTTTTATCCCAAGAAAGGAGCCACAGCTACAAACACTTACAGTTTACCTTTTCTGGTACAGACCAATGATGCTGGCGCTGAGAACAACCTTTACCCCTTTGTTTTCCTTAATGTGGATGGCAACCTCTTTATCTTCGCCAACAACCGTGCTATCTTATTCAACTACAACGACAACAAGGTTGTGAAAACATACCCTACTATACCAGGTGGAGATCCCAGGTCTTATCCTAGTTCCGGCTCAGCCGTGTTGTTACCTTTGAGGAATTTACAAGGGCCTTCTGTTGAAGCTGAGGTTTTGATTTGCGGTGGAGCCCCCAAAGGTTCTTACCAGCAGACTTTAAAGGGTCGATTTGTCGGAGCCTTGAATACATGCGCCCGGATCAAAATCACTGACCTGAATCCCCAATGGGCTATGGAGACCATGCCAGGTGGTAGAACCATGGGTGACATGGTCATGCTCCCCAACGGCAATGTTTTAATCATCAATGGAGCAGCTGGAGGGACAGCTGGGTGGGATTCGGGTAGAAACCCGGTTTTGAACCCGTTTCTATATAAAACAAATGGTAAGGTCGGGTCTCGGTTCGAGTTGCAAAAACCGTCCGGTATCCCAAGGGTGTACCACTCCACAGCCATTTTGCTTCGTGACGGTAGGGTACTGGTTTCTGGGAGTAATCCTCATATTTTTTACAATTTTACCAATGTGTTGTTTCCAACGGAACTAAGGTTGGAAGCATTTTCTCCTTCGTATCTTGAGCCTGGATTCAATAATCTGCGTCCAAAAATTGTTGTTCCCCAATCCCAAACCAAACTCAAATATGCTCAGAAGTTGAAGGTTCAATTCCAGGTGACGGGAAAATTAGCTAAGGATTCGGTTTCGGTGACAATGTTGGCACCGCCTTTCACAACGCACTCGTTCTCCATGAATCAGAGGTTGTTGGTGTTGGAGCCAAACAATTTGAGTGATGTTGGGAAATTAACGTATGAAGTTGAGGTCACAACACCTCCTTCGGCTATTCTTGCACCACCCGGTTTCTATTTACTCTTTGTGCTCCACCAAGACATTCCAAGTCAGGGTATTTGGATCCAAGTGATGTGATTTTCTTCCGGCACTGCTCGACAACAACGTACTTCATATATACATTTTTTAAATTATTTATTGTTTTGAATAGTGAACAGATTCGTGGATGAGCATTAATTTCATTTGGGAAAGTCAAATTTAAATAAAGCGATGTATGAGACTTGTAATTTCAAATTTCAATAGAGGGGTTTGTAATTATTGCTTGCTGATATTACTTGTCAGTTGTTTTTTTTTTTACCGCCGACTATTCAGTACTTATTTTAATAGCGTTGATCTCTTTGTACAGAACGGGGACTTTTTTTTTTTTTTTTAAGGTTGGGTTACAAAATCAGTTTATATTTATTCTATTGATTTAATAATTTAGATTTGTTTTATAAATTCTACATAAAAGTTATTGAACTCCCCTGCGTTTATTGGACCTTTAAATCTATTTCCCTAAAAAGAATACACAATAATATTCTCTATATTTAGTGTTAACAGGTTACACGTACAAGTAGATTCATTAACCTTATGGTGATATTAAGTAGCGCCAATCATAATTAAATTATGTAGCAGCAAGATAATCAGCTAAATTCAAGCGCATTGTACATTTTCCATTTACTAGCACTCTAATTTTAGGGAAAGGCAAATGCAAATACTGTATAGAACTTAGTGATAAAGCAACATATCATTGGAATATGTACCTTATACGATATCAAGTTTTTTGTTTTTTATGATATGTTGTACAGTTATGAACATATCTTGTTATATCTATATATATATATATATATATATATATATATATATATATGTGTTTTATAAGAGTTATGTTGTAAAAAAAGTGATTGTGTAATGTTATAGAGATTCGTTTTGCGTGTCTTAGTTTTTTTTTTCTTTTTTGCTTAAAAAAGTGCGGGCCCCAAAAAATGTTGCGTGTGTAGGAAACTTTTTTGTGTCATGTGACATGATAGATGCAAATCCCTATATATATATATATATATAGAGAGAGAGAGATAGGTTATTGTGCCTACTCTCATTTTACCTACTTTTGCCTATCCCTTTCGTTACCGTCGATTACCATCTCATCCAACGATCCATATTTGTGATATAAAATAAACCTTTTATTCCTTTTCTTTCTTCTCACTTTCTTCCATACCTTTTCTCTCTCCTCCCCTTTCTCTCTTCCTCTGCCATATACCTATTTTTTTCTCCTTTATCGTTAATCTCTGCCTAGATGACGGCACGGAAGCATTTGAAATCAATTACCACAGCATTTGAAATCATCATAAATGGATTGAAAAATCACAACAAATGTAAATCACGATCCATATTGGCGATGTTGGCATTATTTGGAACCATCACACTTCATCACATCCATGGTCAAAGAGTTCTCAGAGCTATGTGTGATTATGGTCCTTGTTTGTCGGATGATATTTGGCATTTTTTGAACAATGACCTTTTATATTATATTTCATTGGTGAACTCTTTACATTTTTTTCAATCCATTGACACTGGTAGTTTGATAGAAACTGATTTAGAAGGAGAAAATTTATATTACAATAATAAAAACAGAGATTAATGTATATTGACGATGATTTCAAATGCTGTGGTAATTGATTTCAAATGCTTCTGCGCCGTTCACCTGGGCAGAGATTAACGATAAAGGAAAAAAAAAAAAAGGTATATGGCAGAGGAAGAGAGAAAGGGGAGGAGAGAGAAAAGGCATAGAAGAAAGTGAGGAGAAAGAAAGGAAATAAAAAGTTTATTTTATATCACAAATATGGATCGTTGGATGAGATGGTAATCAAACGATAACGAAAGAGGTAGACAAAAGTAGGTAAAATAGAAGTAGGCACAATAACCTATCCCTATATATATATATATATAAAGTTTTGTTAATTTTTTTAGCCATATGAGAAGAATTTCTTTATATGTATGTACCTTTCTATTCTTAATATGAGTAGCCTTTGACGAAATCAGGAATTAGTATTTTAGCCTCCTATATATGCATGCTGAGAATAATATTTCGGTTTTGTAAAAAGGAAATAAATATATTTCCATTCATGTTGTTAAGTAGTTATTTCCTTTTCTTTTTCTTTTTGGATAAACGTTATTTCCTATTATTAACTCTCGTCATGATATGAGCATGAGTAACGTGGTGAAATTGATATCCTTTGAGAAAGTAATAAATGATGAATAACAGTATGGCAACCAAAAGAATAGTGGATAGGAGGTCAGGGGTAGATAAACTGCGCGCATCTAGGGAATTTCCTCGATCCTCGGCTGTGTCCGAAGTGAGGCCTTTTGACCTTGGTGATGTTATTTTTAAAATGTATGACCGGTATAATTTCGAGGTCAAATGTATTGCCTGCATAACGATGCGGCTGAGTGACGGACGTTTTAAGACATGACACTCTTCATGCCGAGTCCAATACAAATTGTCAGTGGTCATGGAACATGATACCATAGAAGCCGCGTCCCTTGCAAAATGATTTGCACAAGACGCGGTTGAGCATCCATCGCCTGTCAGGAAGTCACCACAATGCTCAGCTATGCACAAGACGCGGTTGATATCCAAACACGTTCCGGTGAGTCACTTCAAAAATTACACGGCCCTGGTTGAAACGCGTGCCACCAACCAATCAAGTTTCTCCATGCAACGCGGCACTGGAAGCCAAGTCTTGAAAAATGGCTCACCTCCCACCACGTCCAGTGCTATATAACCACCCCCCTTTCACGTTTCCATATCACCAATTTGCTTCTGCATTTCACTCAGTGTTCAACATTCTGCCATCTGCATTTTTCCATATTTTCATGTTCTATAGTTGAGGTGTTGTTGTATTATGGAAAAAATTAATTTGTTGAATGTTAGATTATACTGATAGTTAGACATGCTTTTCATTTGTTATTTTATGTATGCTTTGCTTTATTTAGTATTTATTTTACACTAAAAATTTATCCTTGTAATTATCCATTCTGTATGAAAATTATTTTACATATTAATTTTTTTTGTATTTGTATCTTTTGTTTAACTTTTTGCAGGGAAAATGAGTTCAAATTTAATAACAATTCGTGCACTTATATACTATAATGGTAGAAAGGTTATGGGTCGTCGTGGTGTAACATTTGAAGGTGAAAAACGACCAATGCGTATTACACGCGGTACTACATTTGAGCAGTTGAAAGCGAACATTCATCAGAAATTGGGGTTCCAAGGGAATCAACGTATTTTTGAAGTCACTGTAAGAGCTCTTGCTGGCAATTATGAATACACAGCAATATCAATTACGGATGATGATGATGATGTTGATATTATATTAGACATATTTGTGAAACAAGCTGACACGAGTGCTGATCATACCAAAGTTAATAATATAGCAGTAAAATAATGTAACCGACAAATACTAAAGCCATGTACAAACTTATACATCGGTTCTGCTCATAGTGTCAAGTGTCGATCTATAGTGCATCAAATCCTTTGGTCGTATTCGCTTGCCAAAATTGTTAAATCTGAAGGAAACAAACCCCCAAATAAGAAAAATGCCATTTGTCTCCAAGTCTTACTGTCTAACAACAAGTTTCGCAGTACAATAAGCAAATATCATCATACATTCTTCCGTAATGATCATTTGGATCGGTCACAGGTGGTATAAACGGTGCAATAGGGGGGGGGTCTGGCCCATGCCCATATCTGCAACAAGGTCAGGCAACCAGACATAATATTTTGGGATGGGTTTGTCGCCATGCATAATTCCCTGTAGAGGAGTGCTAACACTGCTGCGCCCCAGCTGTAGGTGGTCATACCCGAAAAATCCCCATCTAGAAGAGTTATGGTCACTTCGCCCTGCGACATGTGAAACGTGTGTGTTTCAGGGCGCCAACGCTCGACCAGAGCACTAATGAATGCATGATCGACCTGCAAGACATTATACAAGGATAAAAGTAAGCATTATCCTATAATAAGGACAATCACATAATTCATCTCACTTTTAAATAACTAATCGGCATATGACGCATGCGTGCGACATGATAAAAGCCTGCACGCCTAAGGTGCTCCACCATTGGCTCCAGAATGTTATCCGGATCATGCGGATCTGACTCCTTCCCTTGCGTTGCTCTACGAACTTTGATTTCCCTCTTCAATCCCGAGTTCCATACAGTTTGGGACACATGAATTTCTTGCACATCAATTCTCAACACACTGTAATCTTCGGGACCCGGTTTAATCACCTCACGTGCCATGAACCCGTGTTATGGAAGTTTAATTAAATAACAATATATAGCATATTTAACGTATTTTATAAAATATTCAATACAATAATAATACAATTTTATGCAATTGAATATAAAACAGTAATAATAATAAATAATAGCAAATTATAAAAAATAAATAGGCTAACCTAAGTTTTTTAGACAAAAAATATAGGACCTTTAAAGACCCTAAAAATTTAATTATGCATAAAAAATAAGGCCACTAACCATAACATATTCATAATAATAATATTACTGTTTTAACAAATTTAATAATATAAATATAACATTTTAAACAACTTTAATAGAATAATTAATACAATATTAATAAAATTTTATGCACATAATATAAAACAGTCATAATCATAAATAATAGCAAATTATACAAAATAAATAGGCTAACCTAAGATTTGTAGACAAAACATATAGGACCAGTGTAACACTAAAAATTTAATTATGCATTAAATATAAGGCCAATAACCATAACATATTAATAATAATAATATAATACTTTTAACAAATTTAATAATATAAATATAGCATATTTAACAACTGTAATAGAATAATTATAAAATTTTATGCAATTAAATATAAAACAGTAATAATAAAATTACTAGCAAATTATAAAAACTAAATATACTAACCTAATATTATTATCCAAAAAGAAAGAGACCTTTAAAAACATAAAAATACAATTATGCATAAAATATAACACCACTAACCTAAAATATTAATATAGCATATAACATATTTAACAAATTTTATAAAATTATTAATACAATAATAAT